AAAATATCATGAATTTGATCTTACCTAGTTGCAGCATGATTCTCTGAAACCTTCCTCACAACACTATTATTATCTCTCTTCCATTCAAATTTTTCCTTAAAGTAGAAATTTATAAAAGAAAAATTTCAATAATTTTAACAAATGGTCCAAATTAACATAAAAAATATTTAATTTAATACTAATTTTGAAAACTATGTATCGACTTGTGGTTTTTATTTAGGATGTTTAGAAACATGGCTCTATTGAAATAATAAAATTTTCATCGATGATTTAAAGGTCGTCATTATTATTCTAATATCCTTAATATTTATAAACCTGAAATTGCTTTCGTGAAATGATATTATTTTTTAAAAAATTATTTAACATGTTGTTGTGAAAGCTAAACAAACTTATATTGAAAGATCATCATTCCATTAGACCTCATACTTACAAAACATTTATATTTCGACCTGGACTTTTGGGACGAGGTATGAATATAGATAAAAACATAAACTCTGACTTTATATACGTCCCCTATTATAAGTTGTAAACCATGAGTATCACCGGCTAACAAGAATAAAGAGTAGCAAATGATCCAAATAAATTGAATCTGTTTATACATAACCCAAGACTCACGTTTCTTGTGTCCATTAAAAACTAATGATGCGTACTGTTTAAATTTTTTCGGATTTGACCATCGGAAGGGTGCACCATCATTCTATCAATCACATTATGCAATCTTTGGTGACATGAATAACCTTTACATTATAGGTGTGATTAAGAATTATCTATATTTTTTATGTACAAAAAAGTCATTCCTTTACCAATCATGGGTTTAGAATGAGAATGCTCATATACTCTACACCTAGTCAACTCTGCAGTTTTAAGGTATATAATGAGAATGCTCATATACTCTACACCTAGTCAACTCTGCAGTTTTAAGGTAGTGCAACATGCAGGAGTTTAGATACATATTAATTTTCTAGAATCCTAGACAAGAGGTTTCATCATAAACTTAGCAACATATAAGCTCCTTTTCAACCTGTTGCTTTTTGGTAAAATACTTTTCACTCATTCAACAATTCTGTCATAACAAGCCTTATTTAATCCATGATCTGACTTGGTGTTGATCATCTATGTAACGATTGATAATTTACTATGATTTTTACAACCATCTTATAATGGTTCGTCATACTCTTTCAAAAGATCAAAAAACTTGGTTGCGTATACATTAGGTTCTTCACTTAAAGTAATATTTCCCTGATTAGATAGTGCGTATTTAATAAAACTTTGAATCTCATTACAATAATTTATCATCTATCATCGACAACCCTTGAGGTAAATCTCTATACATCTATGAACGATCATCCATTACTTATATCAAATCTATATAAAATAATAATGACAACATGTATTAATTAACTACATTAACTAAATAATTTGCAAAAATATTGATTTAGTACAAACTTATTCAATCTATTTTGATAATACTCTTAATTCATTTTCAATTATCTATATGAATTCAAATTCTTACATATTAACCAAAGAATTTCAACTCGGCAATAAAATTAACAAAATATAAAACAAATCCATTAAATAAGTCATTATTTATTTTACCACAAAACACCTAAATCCAAATTTTGACATAAGTTTCATCAATTTATTCATTATTTATTTCACCACAAAACACCTAAATCCAAATTTTGATATAAGTTTCATCAATTTATAAAAAAAATACAATTTTATAAAATCTAAAAACAAACCCAAAAGTGTAAAAATTATAAATTCATACTACAAATTTGTATAAAAAATTAAAAACTATAAAAATAAGTAAACACCAAAAAAAAATACATATACTACAAAAAATATGAAAAAAAATCAACCTTTTAAAATTGAGTTTAAATACAAAAAATGCTAGATTTACTTACTTAAAGTTGAGAATCTCCTATAAAATTTGAATTAAAACACGAATAAATTAAGTATTATGTTGGGCAAATTTATTATGGTAGGTTGCATTGTGTTGAGATTGAGAGGAAGGTGAGTGTTTGTTGCAGAAATAATGTATAAAAAAGAATGAAAAATAGGGGAGGGGAAGGGGAGGGTCGATCCCCAGGTCATAAATTAATTGACAACATTACCGATAAAATTATTTTTTTAGTAACTTTATCAATAAAAATATCATATCACCGTATGATTTTTCTTTTTAAATCTCATTATAATACCCTTCATAATTCTCTTTGTATATATCAAAAGAATTTCTCCATTGATATATTCATGGATAAACGTTATTGTCGGGCTAATTCTATCAATAATATTGTTTGTCAAAATTTTTCTATTGAGATTTACAAATAGAAAATTTTATCTATAAATATTATAATAATAGATTAATAAAAAATTTTCATTTTTATTTTAATTTATATTTGTCAATTTTCTTGCCACGCACTGTCCACATCTTTTACTATTCCTTGGCATGTTGACGCCTACCCACTCCAGGGAGACAGACCTCAATAGGTATTCAATTTCCAAAACAATCTTCTTCTGCATTGGGACCTTCAGGCATCGCCATTACTATAAGAAAACTAAAGCGCGTGGCATGTAGCATGTTAATCTTCCTGGTCTACCATGCCCTATTATTCACTCTCTAGCCTTAAATTAATGGTCGTGAGTCATGCTGGCTCGTGACCTGATCGAAGTCACTTCAGAGACAAGAGCAGCATGCACGTTATGGCATATTTATGAACTGTTTCCTGGTTGCAACATGCAAGATCAAAAGGGTATAGTTTTCGCTATCACCTTCATTTCTATTAAAAATAATTCTTCAGTTCTTCATGTATATCCCTTTTCACTTCTATTTAAGGTGGATAGGTCCGAAAAATCTTTTTCAAAATCAATAAATGAGAAGAATCAAAAGAGAGCACACCACCAGCTAGCTTAGGCATGCATTTACGTCTTGAGATTATTTGCGCTTAGGCATGCATTTACGTCTTGAGATTACTGCTTTCTCCGCATTATGATCCGCTGGCTCTCTAATTAATTATGATCAAGGTCCTTACTTGTCCCAGCTGCTCCTCAACTGCTATGTATGCGTCTATAATTAAAATGAAAAGTGTCACCAAAATAAAATAAAATTATGATCCCTTTTCACTTATTGATGTATTAGAAAGATTATTTTTTTAATATATAAACGAAAGGGAGAATCATTAAAAACACAGAAAGATGAAAATTAAACTGTTATAATATCATCTTCAACGTTTTTTTTCCTATATATTTTACACATTATTCATAGAATAAAAAAACAAGTGGTCGATTATTTGGCCAAGCAAAGAGTTGAAAAAAACGAAAAAAAAAAACTTATTTTGTTTCATTCATACAATAATATCACTTCGAAACTCGAGGTTACAAGGAAAAGGGATAGTTAATCAAATAGGAGAATCATTAAATCAATACATCTGATCCCTCGCAGATTTAGATTTTAGTCCGACTTTTAGTGCGTCAATCTTTGTTTTAAAAGTGTTTGAAAATTAGGTATTTAAAATATTTTTTATTTAAAAATATATTAAAATAATATTTTTTTTATTTTAAAAAAATTATTTTAATATTAGAATATTAAAAAAATTTAAGTAATACGAGCTCAAATCAAGCCCAATATTAAAGTATAGGAAATAATTAAAATGACAGAAAATAACCAGTGGACAAAGGGGACCAGATGCCCGAAAAACGCAGGAATTTACTCTGGTGGTAATCAGTATCGTGATTCACTGCGAGCTCCGAGGTTCCATGGACAACCCTTGTGGCAGTGGTGAAGCCACTAGCAGCATTCACTGTATAATTGGGAAACCAAAAAACGCAAGGAGTCTTACATCATGTTTACGATCTCAATTGAAATTAAAAATCTTAATGAAATTTTATATTTAAAATCTTTTTAAATGTTAAGAATTAAATTCTAAATATAATTTAATCTCTAAAAATATTATAAAAATAAATTAGAGATCACCCACTTTCTGATCTACAATTCTAAAAAGAAAAAAAATTAATGTTAAAATTAACTTTACAAAAATAATTATTTATCTATTTCTTTAAAATCTTTGAAAAAATAAGGTGAAGGTAATGAGAGTAATATAAAAAATAAATTAGATTAAATTTTATCTCATCAAAACACATAAATTCAATTTATTTATTTATTAAATTTAAATTAAATTAGATATTATAATTAAATTCAATAATATTAAATTGATTCTAGAATCTTTATGGCAAGGGTGAAGACTGAAGAGCAGATAGCAGCATTTATTGTAAAGGCAAAAAAATCGGCGAGGCGGGCATTGATGTACCGTTGTGGCGATAGCGAGGCAGCTAGCAGCATTTATTTTGTAGTTGGGAAACCAAAACAATTGGTGAGCAAAGTGGGGTTTGTTTCTAGTAAAATGTCTTACAACAAGGCTTCTGGTTCTCCTGCATTTGTTTTTTATTTTATTTTTAAATATTTTAGAGTAAAATGATTGATGTAAATTATATAATAGTCAAACAACTTATATTATTTATAGTAGCTGTTTTCTAGATCTAAACCCATCATTTAAGTGCATGTTCTTCTAGCCATTTCCTCATTAATAAACCCGCGTTTGTTTTGTATTTGCAGCAGCTATTACTATCTCTTCTTTATTTCTATAATGGACTGGTATTATTATGTTGTAGGTTTTATTCCTCCCTTGTTTTCTCTCGTTTTTAGGGAAGAGTTTCTCCATGTGTGGAGCCTCAAAAATCAATGCTTTTGAATTATTAAGTTTGTATTTCAAGAGGGTTTTTTTTTTTTTTTCTATTATTGTGGTTTGCTGTGGTTTTCAACCATTTCAAGCAAGCAACAATTACTAGCTAGTAGCCTTGTTCACACACCAGTGCTTGAAATGGCAGTAATTAAACTTGAACAAAAAGTCAAACTGCTGAGTCTCTGTACCAACATCATTGAAGCCACAGGATTAGTTCATCATTTTTTTTACTATAAGTTTTGAATCAAAATCATGAAGAAATGGGTGCTGTACTCTTGGATCGTACAGAAACAATCGATACCCCACGAGAAGCTAAGGATTGATGGCAGCCTCCTTGTGGAGACCCCACCATCTCATCTTGGCTCGCCTGGTCAGAAAGAGCGTCATCTCATCTGTCAGCTTCTGAGCTATAGATTGCCTGTCCTTGGATGGCAGCCATCTCATTTATCTCCGATCAACCTTAACCAGTAAACAACCACCGCTATTGTCCAGTCACATGGAACTTCGTAGAAAGTCACCACTACACAAGTGTTAGGATATTGCATTATTATAGTAAATACCTCATTTTTATTTTATACAAGTAAAACAACTTATTATTTATTTGATATAAAATAAAAATACATTTTATGGTATAACTGATGTAATATTTTATGGCTTTTTTATTTTTTTATATTAACAAATATGTTAGAAAAATTTATCATTATTATCTATAAATAAAGATATTATTTGAGAGCAAAAATAAAAGAGAGAGTATTAAGAAAATAAGAGAGAAGAGAAGAAGAGAGTGACAGTAATGGTTGCTGTCATTGCAGCAGCTACAAGTGCATCAATGAGAGATGAGAGTTGAGTAGAGTGGATGTGATCTTTTTTTTTTTTCATATATTTGTATTGTATATACTTTCTCTATCTCTAATAATATGGTTCTCTCCTGTAAATGTAGGATGTTTGCTAAACCACGTTAAATATTATGTCAGTTTGCTTAGCCTCCAATAGGTAAAGATCAAAACATCACCAGTCGAAATCCCCAATAATTGGTATCAGAGTATTTGGTTTAAATTGATGTTTGATTTTTGCTCAAAAATAAAAGTTGTTAAAATTATGTTTTGACCATACCACTATGTAGAGGAGGAAGAGACGAGCACACTGGTGAAAATAGCAAAAAATTCTAATGTGGGACATGGCCGCACGGGCCCACACTCACCAACAAGGAGACTACCCACGCGCCCCAACACCCCCAACACAACGCCACGTGTCTTCTTCACCAGGATGGGCTGACCCGATATGAATTCTAGACAACTCGACTCACGTGACTGACCCGAATATGGATGATGTCAGTATGATGTAATTATGACGGTAGCATGCACAGTGAGCATGCTAAGTCAGCGCCCAGTCAGTTGATATGTCAGCATAGTGGGACTCACCTTGCCATATCATCAGCTGTGAGCCGAGCTGTGTTGAGTCGAATGGAGCCGAGATAAGTTAGAGCCGAGCTGCGAGCCAATCGATGGGATCAAGTGTAGCGGATTTTACATGCAACCGAATCTGAGATTAAATCTAGGTGCTCATCAGGCTAAAATTGTTTTAATCAAATCTTAGCCATCTGAAGTGCGATTTGGATGATTTTAAACTTGTTTCCTCCTAATTTGATCATTTTGGATGTAATGATACAGTTCGATTGTTGAAATTTAGACTAAAAATAGTAGTGGTGAATTAATAAAAAAGATTGCTTGATTAGAAGGCATCTAAAGGTCATCATGGTGGTCGTTGGAGATGAAGAAGAAGAAAGTGCACATATTTACCCAATTATATGTACTGAATTGCTTATTGAGGAAATTTTAATTGTCTTGAGGGAAGGCAAAATTAGGACACTCTAGACACCCGATCTTGTGGATGATTTAAGGTGGAGAGTGGAAATTGGTGAAGAACAATATTGATGAATCTAAGCACTGGTAATCTCCTTAAATGTTGAGAAATCAGGTATAAAACCAAGTTATTCCATATCACTTGTAAAGAAAAACCACAAAAAAGCTAACAAATGGTTGTATATACGGAAAGACAGTATGATTGATAGATATGGCCTAAGAAGTTCTAGCTAAGAGATTAGGTTTTAAGCGGGACCGATGCGACCCCTCCAATCTTTCTTGGGAATTTACTTAGTTGAAGGATTATCCATACGGTGCTATTTTTGTATATGTAACAGTTTGTGATAAAACTGTTGGAGACTAGCAAGATAACGACACAAAAAATAGTTGAGTTTCTTATGTTCAAGAATCTGATGGAGTGGTGATTTCTCCAAAAAGGTAAATTTGGTGATTGTGATTTCTCGAAGGGAGAATTGATGAAGACCCTGATATTGGAAAAGAAATACAATAAGAGGATAAAGATTGACACCTTATTTTGACTTTGATAGGTGTTGTGATATGATAAGTTGTTGTCAAATATAAGTAAGGAATAGAGAGAATTTGAAGAGCAGAAATTGCACGAGGGCGCATAGAGATTGTGCAAGAGTACCCGTAAGATCCAACGAGGTACTATAATGAGATAATAGGTCCAAGGAGAAGAAGAGTTCAAAAATAAAGCTCAAGGTAGAGACACTGTGTGAAAAGTTGTACAATAAAAAATCTTTTGTGCTCTTGATGAAAATAACAAGCGAGGACCTTTCTAATATGCATGCAAGATGGAAAGATAAGCTACTATAGAAGAACCTAATTAAGCGGGTGTGACCGCTTATGATGAAAGGCGAAAACACTAAAGGAGAGTTGGTGTGGATGGAACTATTAAGCAGAAAGGTGTAGAAACTCTAAACATAGAAATAAAGATGGAGGATTGCGAGAAGTGTATCGTAACTCTCTCTTTTTATGTGATCAGTGGCAGTGATCTCTCCCAAGTCCACATGATGGTAGATAATTTTAAAGCCACTTTGAAGCGTCCCAAATGAAGGAGGATGTGATCGCCTATGAAAGGCGAAGACACCTTAGAGAGAAGGTGTGCGGGCCATGATATTAGCTCAGGTTCAAATCGTCCCATGACAATAGATGAAGACACCTTATACAAGGTGTGAGGGCCATGATATGAACCCAAGAGCCAATGTGATGGCTAGATATGAATGGACAAGTGTATAGCCAATGAAGTGGCTATGATGAGTATGGAGGCAAATAGAGGATTGACTTTCATGGATATTACCTCCATGTTAAAGATCAATGAGCTAGAAGACATTTGCCTTGGACAATAAGTGGATGACTTGTGGAGCATTAAGATACGACTGCTAGGAATGAGTAGAGGGCATGTGCAGGTTCTGGCTTGTCAAGGTGATGAGCTCAGTAATGACATTGTAATACTCAGAGTATAGAAACAAATATGGATCAACATTTGATGGGTCGCCTCTATAGTTAAAAGTGGAGAGCTACTTGTACTCTTAGGACTAAAGTGAGACTTACAGAAAAGAAAGGCGTGGATCTTAAGGTGAAATAGAGAGCAGACGCAACTCCTGGATGAGTAGACTATTAGAAGAGTGGTGAGCTTGTAATCACATTGAAATACTAAAATAATAATTGTCGCATTTGAAAATAGAAATTTTTATTTAAGGGGGTGTTGTAAGCTTTGGTGGGAGGCTTGATAAATCATTTTGAATCGAGCATGGTTGATATACTCGAAGGGAAATGTTGTGTTAAAGACGCTCTCAAAATGATAAGTTTGGAAAAGCTGCAGAATGCAAGCTTCTGTTGAAGAAGTAAAAGGACAATTGCACATATAAATGGCAAAGATGATTATTGTTAAGATATTGTTATTATTGTGGCAAATACCCTACTTCCACTTTGTACAAGTAAAACAACTCATCATCTACTTGGTACAAAGTGGAAGCATATTTTGTGGTATAATTAATGTCATGTTTTATTGCTTTCTTATCCCCTTCATGTTGAGAAATGTGCTGGAGAAGCTTATCATTATTGCCTATAAATAGAGGCTTTATTAGAGAGCAAAAATGAGAGAGAGAGTGTTAGAAGAATAAGAGAGAAGAGTAGAAAAGAGTTATTGCAAGTGCAACAATGAGAGATGAGAGTTGAGTAGAGTAGATGTGATTCTTCTCCTCCATGTATTTGTATTGTATGCTTTCTCTTTCTCTAATAATATGGACCTCTTGCATAGATGTAAGCGGTTTACCGAACCACGTTAAATATTTTGTCAATGTGCTTAGCCTCTAATAGGTAAAGATCAGAACATCACCAGTTGAAATTCCTAACGATAAATAAACAGACCGGTAAATATTAAAGCCCTATTTTATTTGAATTTCACAATTTTCAGTTTTTGTTAAATAATTAAATATTTATTTTGGGGTGTGCACTTAGGAGAGAGATTATGAATTTGTATCTACATAGGACTAGGAAGCTAATAGATACTTGTATTGAGTTTCAAGGAATTTTGGGATCTTTGTTTTTGAAGAAGTTTTTTTTATTAATTATTGAATAAAATTGAAGATGGGGAAAGAAATTGAGATGAATTGTTTGATTTGTTTGATGGTCTTTATAGAGACAAAACCACATTATATCGAGAGAACAATTTCTTTTTTTTATCATAGATTTGAAAAAAAAAAACAGAAAAAGAAGAAGAAAAGGGCCTTGAAAATAGTTTTGACTAGTTATTTTTTTTATTAATTTTTTTATCCTATAATAATAAACTCATGACTAATTAGGAAAGGGCCTTGAAATTAGTTTTAATATAAAAAAAAATATGCAATGTACATTTTAAATTAAGGTTTACAACATAGGATTTTATTTAGCAATGATCTTTCATTTGATGTCTATCATTTGATGTTAAAAATCAACGAAAATAGTTTTTAAAATAGTTTTTTCTTTTCTCTAAGTGACACTAATTTTTAATGTGCATGACAAGAAACATTATAAAGAGATGACCACGACTATTAGAATGAAATTCAAGATGTTAGATTAATGAATTTTGGTTTCAATTGACATCAAATCTGGTAAAGCTACTATAGGTATGAATTACCTATGGAATCTGGAAATATTGGAAGAAGCTAATAGTCAAGCTCTAGTAACAGTGAGATACCTAAGAATAATTCATGAAGTTGGATAAAAACTTTGCTAAATCTTCTGGTTTCTTCACAGTTGATGATGGATTAGGCTTTTTCCAGTTGGATGAGCTGTTGTTTCAGGGATAAGCAGTGGAAAGATTATCCGGTAAGTAAAAAATGGATATCCTCATTTTTCCCTTCATTTCCAAAAGCTTAAATATGACATAGAAGAACCTCTTCTTTACAGTGTAGGGGTGACAACTCGTAGCTCATCCTGCAACGGCGGTTGGGGCGGCTGAAATGGTGGTGCTGTCAGCACAGATATGTCATGTACACTCAAGAAGATTTTTTATCGGGTGAAACAAGAGGCAAGCCCCATTGGCTGTAGAAGAGGTTGGCTGATTGGCCGTCTTGTTTGGCACAGGAAAAAAGTCTTGAAATATATCTTACATTATAGGATTGCGTACAGAGAGAGAGAAAACAAATTGAGAGAGATCGGGTTGGACTGGGGGCCCTGGGTCTGACCCAGGGTGAGTTAGCACTCGCATGGGCTGGCCCAAGTGAAATGGGCCCCTTCGGCTGAGACCGGTAGTTTTTTTTTTTAAAAAAAAAAAAAGTACCCCCGGGTGTATATTATACTTAAACTGATAATTATGCAACCATAAATGTGGAGTCTTATTTTCTAAAAATCTCATCAAGTCAACTAGCACGGTTGAGACTTACGTGTTTCCCGCACCGAGCTTTTGGAACAATAGAATATAATTTACTTAATTATATGATTTTTATATAGTTTTTACTTAATTTAATTCTATATTTCTTGAGATCTTAACTATATATTCAATATGAAATAAATAAATAAATAAAATAGCACCATAACATAAGAATGAGGATTTAAAGGTTTTTTGTTCTTTGGATGAAATACAAACTTAGTTATTAAATTTAATTAGATTATAGAAATATTTTAACCCAACATACCTGGAATCCAATCTATTTAATAATCTAAAAATATATATGATAAATGAGTGGTTATTTATGCTTTTCCATGTATTTTCAATTTTAAAAGTGTGATAATGATTAATTTTTAAAGTGATTTTTATTTTAAAATATATTAAAATAATATTTTTTATTTTTAAAAAATTATTTTTAATATTAACACATCAAAATAATATGAAAATATCAAAAATATATTAATTTGAAGCAATTAAAAAATTTTAAGTTTTTTTTTTAAATTGAAACACGATATCAAATACTATTTTTGAATTACTTCAAGTTATAAATGGAGATTTCAAAACCCATTTGAAGTATGTATGCTAATGATATTTTGATATTTATTTTAAATTATTTCAATTTGTTAAAATTAAAGGTTAAATTCTAATATAAAAAAATGTTAAAACTAATTTTTCAAAAATAATTATTTATTTTAGAAAACCTTTGAAAAAATAAGATGAAAATAATGACGATAATATAAAAAATAAAATAAAATAAATTTTATTATATATCTAAATACATAAATTTAATTTATTTATTAATTGAACTTAAGACAAACATTATAGTAAAGAATTACTATATTAGAGAATTGAACAGTATGTTAATGTAGAATCTTTATGGCAAGGGTGAAGCAGATAGCAGCATTTATCTGTATAAATGGAGGCAAAAAAAATTGGTAAGCACAGGGGGCATTGATGTCCAGTCGTTGTGGCGATGGCGAGGCAGCTAGCAGCATTCATTTTACCGTTGGGGGAAACCAAAAATATTGGTCAACAAAGGGGGCGTTTGTTTCAAGGAAAAGATTTTACAACAATATTTCTGATTTTCATTTATTTATTTTTAATACTTAAACAATTAAAGGATAGATTCCCCCCTAAGTATTTACAAAAAATTAATTCTTAAACAATTAAAGGATAGATTTCCCCCCTAAGTATTTACAAAAAATTAATAGATAAAAAAAAATTAAATGATTGCTATTTTATTTAATTTCGCAACATATATGTCTAAATTACTGTCTAAAATTGTTAACCCTCTAAATACATAACATAAATGTCACAAACATATTGATTTTATTAAATTTCATCTAAAAATTTAATATAATTTAATTTTATAGAAAATTTTCATTTTTTATGTGATAATATATTTAGTCCTGAATTTATATTAAAAAATAGTCTCAATATACAAAAATTACAAACAATAATTAAAATTGATTATACACATTTAATTGAAGTTGAACAACAAAATTGAAAAAAAAACTTATTACAATAACAATTAAAATTCAACACAATTATTTCTAAGTGATTATATTTTTAATCCTAAATTTACAAAAAATTATTCTAAATGGAATAAATACAATATATTAATTAAAATTAATCATACACATTTAATTGAAATTGAACATAAAATTTGAAAACAAATAACTAAATTTGAACAAAATAATACAAAAATTATTTCAATAATAACTAAAATTTAACATATTTATTAACTCGTAAAATTATTAAAATCATAAAACTGAAGAAAAATAATGATGAAAACACAAAAAATAATGAAAAAAAAAAACACAAAAAGAAAGAAAAATTATTACCTTAATATTATGTATATTTTCAGCTAATAATTAAAAAAAAAAACATATTGTTAATGAATCCATAAAAAAGAAAAATATAAAGAAAAACAACATTCCTAAGGATAAGAAGAAAAAAGAATACTTGATTTTAGCCGAGAAAGAGATAAAGAAGAGAAGAGAAAAAGAGAGAAATAGATCTATAATAGAAGAAGAAAAAAGAAGAAGATGAAGCCCCATTTGTTTTTATCTAGTATTTAAATTTAGTTTTACCGATGAAATTAGTGTTGATGATTCCGTCTCTAAAGTCAAATAAATTTTTTTAACTTGTATGAATATTTTTAAATACGCCTCCAAATATTATCGCTGACTTTTTATTTTGTCAGTGACACCATTGAGAAAAAATGAATAGCCAAAAGAATAGTAATTATTATTACATTGAGAAATAAATAGTTTTCATAGTCATTGAAATATATCAACAGACATATTTTTTCAATATACCTATATATAATGTAAAGTTTGTCGGTATTTTCAACGATGTAAAATAGTGTATGATATCAAATTATAATTGTATTCTTTATCTATCTATCATAAAAATACTTAAATTCACAACTGTACACACAACATATTAACATTAGTTCACATCACAATAATAAAATAAATATTTTCTTATCATATAATAATAAATTAACATCATTATCATTATATTGATATGAATTTCATCCATAAATCAAGGTTGTCAAAAACACTTTTTTTAACATGACACAAAAAATACAATATAAAATTGGTTCGTAAAACCATAAATAATTTTTTTTAACTAATTATATATTAACAATTCCAGCCATGAAATTAAATTACATTAAAATCTAATAAAGTGAGTCAACAACTTTATAATTAATGAGTATCTGAAAAAAATAAAAGAGATAGATAATATGAATCAAAAAATTAATGAGATAGAAAAATAAAAAGATTCAGAACAAAACTTCTTAATACAAGAGAATCACTGAATGGTAGAAAGTACACACTTGGTTGTATCCATCACAATAAGTCTTAATAGATCCCTTTTGAGTTGCAAACTAATGAGCCTAAACTAGTAATTAACTAACATAAATTCAATAATGAAATAAACCCCTAAATAATGTCTAATGAGCTAGAAAAAAAATTCAAATTCAAAATAATTATTCAAAAAAAAAATTTAATAAAAAAAATCTGCATGTTAAAATTCCTTTTTGTAGCCTGAATCTCTAATTTTTGCATATATCTTGACATATTTAAGTCAATATGTCAAATATGTTGCTCTCTTTCTTGTCTGGATTAATTATTGGGCCTATGATATATAGTTGGAAAGCTTAAAATGCATAGTTTTTATCTCAACTTTAATCGTAGTAAAATTTCAAACATGTTGCTCTCTTTCTTGTCTGAATTAATTATTGGGCTTATGATATATAGTTAGAAAGCTTAAAATGCATACTTTTTATCTCAACTTTAATCGTAGTAAAATTCCATAAGTAGCTTCAAATATGTCACAAACAATACAAGAATGTCTAGTTTGACATATTTGACAAGATTCGTCCACTAACTTTGACCTTTTAGAATATTATTTTTCCAAACTCCATTTGACTTAAATATTTACCATAATATATTTTCATGTGTCTAATATTTCCTTGTAAAATTTTAGTATCCAATGTACGATGTGAAAGAAATGTTTAATCTCGCAAAACTGATCAACAGATATTTTAAAACTAAATTTGGACCTGACTTAGTTTGTATTATGAATTTAGTAAACTCATAAAATCAGATCGAGTTCACCTAGTCAACCAATTGTATCGATTTTGCACAAATTAAGTCTGATTTTACTGTTTTGAAGTTTTTGGATTGATTTTACAGTTAGATACATGTTGACTACGAGTTAACTTGCGATTTTAACAACAATGTCATTAATATTCCATTATAGTTTATAGCATTACACATTTGTGTTATGCAAATTAATAAAAAAATCATTCATCAATTGACTCATCCTCATCTCTATCGCAATCTTCTATATTGATTTCATCGCTATCATCTTCATCAACTTGTGTAAGTCCACTAAACTTTTAAACATTCAACTACTCAGCATTAACACTAACAAAAATATTCTTAGCATAAGCAAATTTAAATTTTCTTCTAAGTCATTAGACAAAGCAACTTAATATAGATCAACTAACTCACCAAGTCGAAAGACATCATTTACCACATTTAATTCAATGTTGTTATCCTAAACAACATCAATGCAACCTTTAGTTTGATTTTCGTTGTAAATAATCAATCAACTCTTGAACGATCCTTTCTAAAGGAAGGAATGTGTGTGTAATAAACTTGCTGGCATCACTTGATGAAAATAAAAACATCTTTGACGTTACAGAGTTTAGCCTTTGAATTAATTTTTACCAAGCCATGATAGAGATCTACTCTAATAATATTTGAAAAAAAAATACTTTATTCTATTTGCTATAATTTTACAATTCAATTACCTCTTCCAATTTATTATAGCAGTCAACTTTAAACTCATTAGAAGTCAATCTCTTAACACAAATCTAATTGTTATATGTCTTCCTACCCTATCCATATTCTTCAATATGAAACACATCTCAATGCACTTTCTTACCATCATTATGCCTTAGAACGTAGTTAATTCTTGTTTTTAATTGAGACTTAAAATAGTACAAGATAAATGTTGAGATCTCTTAAACGATATAGTGCTTTGTTTTTTACTTTTCTCTTAAAGTTGAACAAGTATCTATATGTAATTAAATGAATCTTTTGAAATATGCAAAGAAAAATAATAAAATTTTAATTGCGATGCACATGTAATTTCTAATTTGTCAAATGGATACATCCATCTAT